GCCAGGAGGAGGTCCTGCAGGTCGTCGGCATGGCGACGCGACTTAGATTTCTGCATTTTTAACTGACTAAGCCAAACTTTTGTGACTTCTAATTGCCGTAAAATGTAATTACCATTCCTTTCCTTTTCGTTCACTCGTGGAGCAAACTTTCTTAAATGGCTGCCGAGCAAGGTTCAGTTGCCCAAGTGAACTGGAGTAAATCATAAATTAACTACACACCCACCGTCCGTATTCCCGCAAAGCAGCTCCTAAATCGATGCAGTGCAGCGGGGCGTAACATCCAAAATCGACATGTTTCAATCGAGAATAAAACACTCAGCACACACACACACACACACACACGCGCTGGCTGCACGAGTCCTTGTTACAAGGATTACGATGCTTAACTGTCCGTACTTCTGAACTTGCTCGAACACACTTATTCAAATGCAATGTAACTTTGTACTAACTGTGTCCGCAGTTGCGAGTGTGTGTTCAGCTTAAAAGTTGCATGACTTTCGGGCACAGCCATTGAGCGGTATGGAAACCATTGCAGTAGATTGGTTCTGCAGGACTAAACTTCCGAGCCTGGGCGATCTGAAATAAATGATATAGTGCTGAAGATATTCGCTCGCAACTTGGGGCTTAGAATGGCTGCGAGAGCGATAGTTTTTATTACTTAACCGGCGCTACTATATGTAGTGTTCAATTATCGCCGCAACTACGAGATAATCTGGAATGCTGGTTCACAACGCATCACAGCCCAATATGCACTCCATTCCCATTCATCCGTGAGTCCCAGTGGACGGCATTGCTCCATACAAATGCATACGAGCATGTAGTTTAGACCATTCCACTCCACAGCCATATGCGGATGCAGATGCGGATGCGCCCAAAGAATTGTTCAATTGCCGGAACACAAACGTGTGCGTGTGTTTTTTGGCCTTTGTTGGCTTGATTTAGGCGGCAGTATATATGAATTATTATGGTTAAATATGGATATTTATTGCGATTTCGGGCGATAGTTGTAATGCCAGAGCGTTTCGACCCGAAAACGCAGCTGGGGCGGAAAGCTTTTGATCTGCCGGACATTCGAGGGTGGAGAGCGAGTGGTGCTACAGCCATGTATGAATGTTCATATATTCGTGCATTCGGCATTTTATGGACTGCCAGTGGTTGCCTGTCGAAGTTGCCTCATTTCGGTAATATTTATTTCTTTGAGTGCTTTTCGAAAAGGGAGACGAGAGCCCGCAAATTTCATTCCACAAAAGTTTTGTCGAAAGCCAGAAATTATGAAATGAGCAAGTTTCTCGTTTGCGGCTGTTTGACTAATAAAAAAGGGGAGGGAAGTGCCTTTTAATTGCAACTCTGCCAAAAATCAAAGACAACAACTCGGGTGCAGTGAAAGCAATTAGTTTTAAGGAGCAATATTTTCGGAGTTTTATTCAAATTCAAGAGACAGAAGCGGGGCAAACAATCAAATTGAAACCCAGCCAGCAGCCAGGAAAACAAAGTGCAGCAGGCAACACAAATCTAAATCTAAAATTTATGGGAAGCATTGAAAGTGCGCAAATATAGAGTTTTGGCCGGGTCTTAAGTCGCAGCCCCGGACTGAGCCATAAATTGTAACGGCTTTGGTTCTTCCTTATGCAGATTTGTTTAACTTCAAAAGGACCAACAAATTGCGAGGCACTGGCTCCTCGAGCTGACTTCTATTGGGCTTGCTTTCTGGGAATGCTTTCCGCTTTTATTTTCCCCCCAAACATTAATCCACTAAACCGTAAACAAACGATGGCAGTCAACAAAGGGCCAACATGGCGTATGAGCTATTAAGTGTAGCACATGTGAGCCGCTGTGTTCGTGGGTCTAGCCGTATTTTAAGCTCCCCTGCACAATTGCGCTGTTTCCGCATGCCGTTTCCATTTTCCATCTTCCATTTCCACTCCCTGACTCGCTGTTTTTTAGCAACTGCAACTGCCGGCCGTTTTCACTTCGAATTGCATCGCAGCCAGGATTTATTGCACTGCAAAAAGGCTTTAAGGGAGGGGGAGAAATTTTCAAAACACTTTAGTAATGATAGCCAAATCAAATGGCATTGTTGTATAATTGTAATTATTTTGGGTTTGCCTTACTCAATACCACAGCTATTTCACACATTTCCACATTACCACATACTTCTGTAATGCAATTAATTAAATTCCACCTCGATTGAGTTTAGCCCAATCAAACGAATCGCCCAGATTACCCACCAAGATTAAATATTTAAAAATAATTCCACTTGCTTTGTGCGGCCAGACTTGAAAATTGTGTAAATTAAATATTTATTTGCGCGCTGAAAAGTTTGCGAGCCCCCAGTGCTTATCCTTTCACCAAAGTCACCAGGTCGAATCGCAGTGGGAACTTGCTTTCATTGGCAATTTGTATTTGTTGGCCGCTGCTTGTTGCCTCATAAGTATTTTTATTTGAGCACAAACACTAACCCGACGAGCGGCAATGAAAGTTAAACAATGTTTGCGGCTGTGCTATCCGTTTCCGCAATAATTTCTCGGATCCGCCTGCTGGCGTTTTGTGTCCTTGACACAATTTCCACGGGAAAACTTTTGATTTTCCACAAGATAATTTGCTAGCTGCGAAGTGGGCGTGGCTGTGGGTCGCGGCCACTTAAAGCAATGCAAAAAAGGGCGCCAGGCGAAGGCGAAGGCGAAGGCTTCCAAATAAGGAAATCAAAACGGCAGGGCAACATAAAAGCCAAGCGAAAATTGAACATCCTGCAGCAGGATGCGCTGCGTCTTGGCGGAGGCACCGGTACCAAGACCAAGCCGCACACCATAATTATGGGTGACCGCGATAAGGAGGTGCCCTGAATGCCAGGGAACTGCGCGAGTCCACTCCACGTTGCACGGCACAACTGCCGCCAAGGACTCTGTCCAAGGATTCCGACCAGGCGGGAGGAGGGGTCCTCGATCCGGACGACTGGTCACCCTGTATGGTGATGGTGATGGAGATGGAGATGCCGACGAAGCTGGTGCCCCACTTTGTGCAATGAGAAATTTCCGCTCGCCTGTTCCTTTTGCCTTTTTGCTCGAAGGATGACATTTTTGCAAATTGCCATCATAATAATAATCAAATTCGTGTAAATTTGTTTGCAAATTCAAGAAGGAAATGGTGTCAGCTGGCCCAGTTCGTCCTCTTGTCCCATTTGTCCGCCGCCCTCGCCGAAAAGCAGATACAGATGCTTTGGGATTATCAAGTTAATAGCTTTTCTCGTTCTCGTTCTCGTTCTCAGCCCAGCTTAATGCTGATGAAATTGAAAACATAAACTACACAGAAGTGCGGAACTTGGGACAGGATCTGCAGTGATTATGGAGATGGCTTCTGCACATTTGAGGAATGTAAAGTCAAATTATTTCTGCGAACGGATGGCAATTAATTAAGGAGAGTTTGTCAGCTGAGGGCAGCCCTTTGGGCACATAAAAAAGCAATGTCTTCCACAAACTAACGAATAAAGGGATTGACTCACTTTAAAACGGGCGATACTGTTGCAATTTATTCAGAATTGCTTAAAACAATGCAAAATCCCTGCGAACAATAACAAAGCGTATTCAAGGTAGTGAATTTGGTCAGGCCAAATTAAACATGTTTCAATGCGGCTCAAAGAGCTCAAAGTTGCAGGACAAGGAGCCTGAATTTAAGCCTGAAATTGACTTGTCTGCCATTCACACTCACTATTGCACTGGCAACGCCTTTCACACCCTACTACTTATTCATAAGCCTTGTGAGAGTAATCCCCTCGCCTCTAGGCCGGATGTGTTTTATGGTTATTTCGAGTGGCTTATTCCGAGGTCCCCACAAAGGCAGTGAATGCATGGGCGTATGGGTACAAGGCCAACCACGTGAGTGTCGCTGCACCGGAAAAAATATCCATAAAAGCCCAATTTTGCACACTGCGCTGCCAAGGGCAATAATGCAACCACTTGGACAAAGTGAAGCTCAATATATTTGGGTTTTTATACTCCGTTGCTTGTCTAAGTTCATATGGTTAAGTTGCGTATTAAAAATCTTTCTTTCAGTGCGAATTTAATTTTAGGTGTCAGGCTGTGAGTCCCATGAAGCAGCTTCTTTCGAGAACAGATAATCCGGCGTGGGGCTGATCTGCCGGGAAGCCCGCTTAATTTCAATCCGTGCGGTCGCCAATCGATGGGGTTGGACCTACGCCGACGACTCAACTTCTCAACTTCTCAATTTCTCAATTTCTCGACTTCGGAACGTCCCCCGATGGCGGTGGCACGTCAAAAGTTTCAGTCAACTTCATTAGGCCAAATCCGACGGCCAACAGACTGAGCCCGTCATGGTCAGCCACTTGTGGATATGCCGTTGGACGTTGGAGCCCACATTCCTGGTGGCCATGACGCAGCCCAACGTTCTCCCCGCCACTGGGCTCTGGAATTAAATGAGGCACAAACTTGGACAAAGTGGTTTAGCCAATGATAGGCAGTTTCCCTTTTCCGGCTGAGTGGCAGAAATTAAACGCCGAGCGGCCGGCCTTAAAGTGGAGCTCATTTGCAGGAGATTCCCCATTCGAATAGGTCTTCCAGGGCATCACCTTGCCAACTCACTGGGGCTTTTGCCGCCCGATTGTGGAAGGCGCAAAGTTTGCCGCTCGAAAGTTGGTCTCGAGTATCCTGCCGAGGGTAAAACAACTTTGACACAAAAGTTGACCAAAACCTTTCAGGAGTCCGCTTTCTTAACTCTCGCAAGCCCCTTCTCCGTGTCTTGAATGCTAATCAAGAACGGGGAACTCGAATCTGAATAAACTTTTAAAAGTGCGACAAAGCCCACTGAGCAGTCAAGTTGATTGCCGGCGCAATGGAATTAGGCCAAGAGGTTATGCTCTTTAAGGGGTTTTAATTGAGCAATGAACCTAATACCTTCGGAATAATACGAGTACACAAATAAATATATTAAATAATCTACTATCTTGTCAGCCCAGACCGTAGTAGCCCGACTTTGGCACGATTTGAATATATACTTTTGGGTACACTTTGCCACGTCTGCCATGAGGAGTTCCGCCCTTTGGCGCTCGGTGGGCGCCATGAGCTGCGGCTCCCTGGCCACCTACTTGGCCATCCGGCTGTTCGATAGCCTGGAACCCTCCATGCTGTCAGGTGGCACACGGGAAGGTAAGGAGCGGGCGCTGGAACCCTTGGCCAGCGGCGCCTGGCTGCACCACTGGGACTTGGACAAGCCGCAGCTGCAAAAGATGGCAAATGGCGAGAAGTCCTCCGCCCTGCGACACATCGTCTTGGTGCGACATGGCGAGTACACGAGGACCCCCAACGGCAGCCACCTCACGGAACTGGGTCGTCGGCAGGCGGAGCGTACGGGGCAAAGGTTGCGGGAAATGGACTTGGCCTGGGAGCACGTGGTGGCCTCCACAATGCCGCGTGCCGAGGAGACGGCGATGATCATCCTGAAGCAGCTGCACCTCGATCCGCTGAAGATGAAGCGGTGCACTTTGCTGCCGGAGGGCACTCCGTACCCAGCAGATCCGCCCTCCAAACGGAGTGACCGCAGCCTGGATCTGGCCTATAAGCGGGATGGTCCCCGGATCGAGGCCGCCTTCAGGCGCTACTTCTTCAGGGCCAGTCCGGAGCAGGAGCACGACTCGTACCTGCTCATCGTGGGCCACTCGAATGTGATCCGCTACCTGATCCTGCGGGCCCTGCAGCTTCCTCCGGCCGCCTGGACGCGCCTCAACCTGAACCACGGTTCCATCACCTGGCTGACTGTGTGGCCCTCGGGCTATGTGACCTTGCGCTGCTTGGGGGACTCCGGCTTCATGCCGGTGACCGAGATCACCCATCGAAGGCCGTCGCCGGCGAAAGCCGACAGCAGCTAGCTCGTGATTAAAGCCATACTCCCGGCTGCGTCTTGGGCACGGACTCGAGGCACTACCTCATTTTGCAGTACGAGTGGGAACGTGACTTCATGCACATTTGGTCGCAACTGGGTGAAAACCACTTTAACTTTGCCCAAAATCACTTGGCCAACACACTGCCAGCTGCATCTGCATCTGCATCCGCATGCCAGCACACTCACATTGACATCCACATCCAGTGGCCACAATGGCAGCGGCTGCCACGCCCAAAGCGGTCATCCCGCCCACTTTCTGGCCACCCGGTAGTTGGCACATTTGCGCTACTCTTTCGGGATTGTCTGTGCTCATTAGTGCGGCTTTAATTTTGGTTATTGCGCCTGTCCCATGTTGTTCGGTTCGGTTTTGGTTTCTGGTTTCTGGTCTCGGTTTTCGGCCCAGTTCCGCCTGGTTTTGGCCATCGCCGACGATGTTGCCTTTGCGTTGCCGTTTGCCGCCGGCGTTTCATTAAATTTGCATCGCTCCACAATTTGAATTTAATTTGTTGGGGGCTGAATATTGCATTATACCCATCTGGTCGACCTCCTCAGCTGCCACTCACCACGAGTGTCAGCTGCTAAATATTTGCCTCGCCACAAATTCTGGAGCACATGGAAAAAAGGCAAGTGTTTATTTTGTGGTCCTTTTATTGCTGTTGTGGTTGGCTGCCTCAAAATGGCCCTTGACGTCCTGCGAATGTGCATTATAATATGCGTTGCACAGGATGGGTGTATAAGAAACCCTAGGATTGTTGCAGCTCTTCCTACCACGAGCACATATATAAGAATACCCCGACCTACTAGTGATCCCAATGAAGAGTCTACTTCCTGCACCAAACCGGGGCAAGAAGTTCCGCCACAACTGGTTCTGAAACTATGTATTTTAAAAAGCTGCCACTTGCTTAATTCCCAAATTCCATATACTCGTATCATTTCCCCAAACTTCAACAGTTTTGTTCTAATTCCGAAAATAGAAAAAACTATGCAAATTCTGACGGTGTTTTTAGGACTTATCTTGAGTACATCGCTATCCGAGGCTGAGCTCGGCGTGATCAGCGACATAAGCGACGAAACCTTCGAGATGCTGATATCCGGCGGCTACAAGCCGAAGAGCAACCGGCTGTCCCGCCACGTGGTCTCAATCCGCACCAGGAACTACGTGAGGCACCGGGGAGACAACCACTTTTGCAGCGGCGTCCTGGTGAGCAGTCGCGCTGTCCTGACCGCCGCCCACTGCCTGACGGAGTAAGTTGGAGGAGTGTCGGGGTAGCCTTACGCGTGCCTGGTAACCAAGTAATCCTCCACAGCCGGTACAAGGCCTCGATGAATCCGCGGGGCATACGAGTGGTCTTCGGGCACATAGCTCGTCTGGCGGCCTACGAAGAGCCAGACTTCCGCAGCGTGGATCGCCTGGTGGTCCATCCGGAGTACGAGCGCTACAAGAAGAACGATCTGGCCATTCTCAGGCTCTCCGAGCGCATCCAGAGCTCCAACCACGACGTCCTCCCGCTGCTCATGCGCAAGACGGCCAACGTGACCTATGGCGATACGTGCATCACCCTCGGCTGGGGGCAGATATACCAGGTGAGCCATATACCGTGTATTACTTCCAGTGCCATTACTGCCAGTACCCACCTATCCAGCACGGCCCTTACTCGGACGAACTGGTCTACCTGGACGTGATCCTGAGGCCGCCCTCGCTCTGCGAGAAGCACTACGACACCTTCACCGCGGACCACAATGTGTGCACGGAACCCGTGGACTCGGGCATGAACTGCGCCGGGGACATGGGCGGACCACTGCTGTGCAAGGGGGCGCTGTTCGGGCTCATTGGCGGACACATGGGATGCGCGGGCGGCAAGGCCATGAAGTTCCTCAGCTTCCTGTACTACAAGGACTGGATTCTGGTCACCATCCAATCTCTTTCCGACTCCGGGGCTGGAGTACCCTTAGGCAGTGTTTTTCTTATACCCTTCGTACTGATTCTCGTAAATTAATATACAAAATAGGCAGAAGTCTGATGCTAGTACGTGGTGATGATGGTGGTGCCACCAAAGGGTGCAGCAGCTGCCCTTCTGCTCGACTCATTTGCGACCAAATGTGGCATTGATACAGCGAACAAAGGACGACAAATGAACACAAAGAACCCGAGGGACCGGAAGTTGCCGTGGCGATATCGCCGCTACCAAACTAGATGCACCTTTGCGGATGTTTCCGGTTAGCAGCCCAACTGGGGCCATCATGGCGCACTTTAAGTTTGCAAGCCTCTCCGGACTGGCGTGCGAATCTGACGCAAAATGCATAAATCATAGGCAAATTGAATTTTAGCCCTGAAAGGCACTTCTGCCGCGGATGCGCCCAGGCGATGTCCTCATCGTTTTCGTAGTCTATGTCGTTGTCGTTGTCGTTGTCGTTGGCGTTGTCGTTGTCGTTGTCATGGGTGCCTCCCGCTGCGAGCTCTGACAATATGTCGGGGAAAGTGGTGGGGAAAATGACGACCCTCCTCGAACTCCCGTCATCGTGGTGCTTAACTTTAGCCGGCTCCGCGTTCGGCTTTCAGCGATGGCGAAACTTTGTCTGGCTTGGCGCGGATGCAAGTTTAAAGCAAAGTCTACTTAATGCAAAGCTCAAGGCGCCTGCCGCCAACACAAACAAAAACTGCGAAATTGGTCGTTAGTTCTTATGAGATATATAGATGTGTTCGGCGCTTCCGCGAAAACTGAAGAGCTTTCAGCCGGGCTGTGCACAATAACCTGGCAGCAAAAGCGGGCTTAAATCTCAGGATCTCCGCGGAGCACTAAATATTCCATAAAACTGCTCACTTGATATCTGCAAATATGCATATGTAATGCGTGCACACCTTGTCATAAGCCATCGGAATAAGGCAGCAGGTGCTGAATGGCCAATGACTGTGTTACACCCGGTACAAAGATGAATCTTACCCGGTGGTTTTCCCGCCTCAGCAGCACGTGCTTTTCCCCAGAAAAGAAGGGCAAGGAAAGTGGGCAACCACTGTCTATACTCACCATGCGCCTCTTGTGCATTTCACTCGCTGGGCGGCTAATGCAAATAGTAAAACAGGGAAAATTTCTAGGTTTTCTTTGCCGATTATTGGGGCCTAAAACCTTTTCACTGTTCAGTCGTCGAGCGGCGCTGGCCGAGCTGTGTGGCAGAATTGCGGTGGAAACCGAGTCAGGACATTCCTTATTCATACTAATTATGTGAAAATGAATAAATAATTGGGTGATAATTGTCGGCTTGATTGCATGCAATGTAAACATCGGAAAATTGTCGCAAAATCGCAAACGGTCAATAAGCGTGAGCCAAAGCCTGTTTTCCAATGCGCTCAATTACTAACAGATTTCAACTCATTTTCGAGTTTCGGTAACGAAACGTTCAAACAAACGAATCGAATCGAATCGCATCGCATCGCTTGGCATCGAATCGACATATCAAACTAATTGCAATCGAATTTAAATAACGTTCAATTAAAAGCATGGTTCGCAAAGCCAAGCCCATAATCACGCCATATTTGTAAAGTGTGTGTAAAGTGTGTGAAAGTGTTTAGCGAGAAGGGAAAGGGCTCCGGCTCCGATTCAACATCAATCAATTAATTGGGATCCCGAACGAGGTGCGTAAGTTCGTTGGCGTGCAATTTGTTAATTAATCGGATGCGGTGCGGATGCATTAGCACAAACTGGAGCGTTAAGTCTGCCTCATTATGTTTAATGCGAGTTGCTGACTTCGCCTTAAATGTTGGGAAAGTCATACCGTACAAAAAGTTCTGGAAAGGTAAAGGGGTTAGAATGCAGCTTAATAAATACATTGGAATATTCTTGGCACCACCCAAGTAGCTCCTCACTCTGGCGCAGCCGAACAAGCATTATCGGACATCTTTTATTGTCCACCCTGCTGCATAACTCCACTCTAAGCCGTGCTGAAAGCCCTTTACTCGGCGTGACCCAATGCATTGAACTCTGCCACCTCGCTCCGTACTCCATAATACCGCCTGTTATCAGTGAACGGCTTTCACTAATATCTTTCTAACAGGCGGAGAAATGGCAACAATAATAGGGAGATAATAGCCGACAACAAGTCCACACATTGCGTATCGGTATCGAGTTGCCTTCGAACGCTTGGCCAGCACATTCGAGCGCCTTGACTCGTGTCCACTTGGCTAACATAATCGCACATGCGGTTACAGCGACTACAGGGTATACACATGGAGGTGGCACATACACAGGGGGGTAGGGGGTAGGGGACCCATTGCAGCGGCGTATCGAGTTTTAATGACCCAGTTTCCAGCTCAAGACTGTTTGGTTCGGCCAGCCATCTGTATTGGCTTGGTCTAATTCTGCAAGTCCCCTGGCAGAGCAATTAGTATGGCCATTGGCCAACATGAATGGGCGATAAAGGCGGACGACGAACGTGGGATTGTCAAGGAAAACAAATGAGTTGGGCTTGCAACGGCCACTTGAGGGGCTTCTGCCCGGGTGTCCGTACTTCTTCTAACCCAAAGAGATGTCTGCAGCCGGAACGGAAAAATTGGAAAGAGAATGGCACAGAAAGAGTAATTTTGCAGTCTTTGAAAGTCATTACCCATTGATATGTGCACTATGGGAGGTGAAAGAGAGAGCCTTTGGCTAGTTTGCTCGCTTTTCAGCTCGATTTTCAGCTCGATGGTGTGCTGACAGCTTTGGAAAGGGCAGAGACAGCACAAGATTGCAACAGGGCGAAAATAAAATGAAAATTAATAGAATTAAGAGGTGAAGAATTCCATTCAAGGCGGCATTCAGGGACGGCACTTAAGTGGAACAGAACCTTGGCGGCCCACGCTGCGTATGCTTAATAAACACACCGAACGGTTTTGAGAGGTAATCAATACTTGTGAATTATCAAATATTTTGGCTGTCTTATGGGAGCTTTGTTGCCAAGTTAATAAAATCTTGCAGGCGAGATACAATGTCTCTTATCCTTATAATACAGCATTTCAGCATGTGCAGTATACGCGGCGTATACGCAATGTGATGAAGATTACTTGCTCTAAAGCTCTAAGCTGGCCACAATGGGGTCAGCTCACTTTGTATTTAATAAACAAAATTTAGGTCCCACAGAAACAATTTGTGTGGGAAATGCGAGCATTCCCCACGAAGCCGCAATATTCATTAATTTGGCGAATGTCACATAATCTTGGTGAGTTACTAGGACGCAGCTAGTTACTTGGCTGTTTTTGGAACCCGAAGCGTAGGAACATACATATGAATGCATAATTGGAACATAAAATACCGGGAATATTTTACAGCATTCTCCCCATGTGGGGCCCCATGCGAGTGTTTGGTTTTTGTTTGGCCCGATACGGCTGTGCATCCCCCGTTCCCGTGCCCGTGCCCGTGCCCACCCGTGTGCTTCCCGACTATTCATGGCCATGCCTGTTCCGCATTAATTCATCCGCAGGGCGGAGAACCAAGCCATCCGGCCGAAGATGGACCAGCGCAATCTAACACTGCCAACGCCAGCCGCAACAACAATTATGTCCTCGTCATCCGCAGCGATGTCGGCGGGCTTCGCAGCCCTTGGAGGACCAACCACGTCCGCCCTGGCCGGATCCACAATAGCATTAGCCACAACAACAACGGCGGCGCCCACAACGACGCCAGCCACATTTTTTACCTACAGCATACCAGGCATGGACATTGCGCCAGGACCATTTATATTCACCTACGTTAGTGAATTTTTATCGCTTATCACGCCCGAGGAATTGCCGCTGGGTAAGTCCCCCGCATCCTTGTGCCCGTGTGGGGATCGAAGGACATCGGGGAAAGGGTTTGTGGGCAGGTATTCAGGACGTCTGCTGGCCGACAATGAAGGCATTAGAGATGTAAATTCAGGAGAGCCTTTGATAGGTGGGCAAGTTATTCGGCACAGATGCGAGACCTCATATAAATTGTGCACAGGGAGAAACTTGTCCTACATAAATGATGCCTTTATCGGATTTTCTATTTCCTTTCTTGTATTAATGGTGTCCTGATGATGCCTCAATGTTTTACATGTTTTATATGTAAGCAACGGACATTTGATTTTCCCAAGTGCTCAAAGGCTTTAAAGCAATCAGCACCTACATAGTTCCAATGGCAATAATCCCTAAGTGGTCTTAGCCTGTCCCTGACCCTTAGCCATTAAAAATACATGTAGGACGACAGGTTGGGGTGCCACAAGGACTTTCGGAACGAGCCAAAGACACAGTCGGCCTAGTTAAAGTGATCCCCCTTCGGACGATATGTGTTTCTAAATTCAATCCGTCGAAACAGCCCCAGAGTTGTTCGTTCCTGCCCAGATGACCGATGAGCAGAAGCTGAGCACTTTCATGGAGCGGCATGGGGTGCGAGAGGAGGTGGCCCGTCAGTACCTGAGCTCCAACAACTGGTCCCTGGAGATGGCCAGCAGCACCTACGAGTCGGAGGTGGTTTCCATGAAACAAGAGCCCGAAAAGTCCTCCGAGCACTCGCAGTCGAATCAGAGCAATCGGGATCTCCATTCCCTGCTGAGTGAGATATCCCGGAGGAAGGAGGGCGACCAAGACGGCTACCAGGCCTGTGCCTCGGACAGCTCCTCCGACCACGACACTCCCGTGGGCAAGCGGGTGAACATCAATAGCTCCACGCCGGCCTTAACCAACAACGACAGCGACCGCAGTCTGCGGGTCTGGGGCCATGGCAATCGGTTGGGCAGCGCCCATCCCATCAATCCGCCTCCACGGTCCGCGACCGAGGACTCGGATACGGAACCGGCCGACGACGAGCACACCATAGTTGTCCTTCACCTCTGGTCTGAGGGATTCTCCCTGGACGACGGCTCCTTGAGGCTGTATGCACTGCCCGAAAACGAGCGGTTTCTCCGCGCTATTCTGAGAGGGGATTTCCCGGAGGAAATGCTCCGGGTGCCCAGAGTGCAGCTGAGCGTGCAGGATCACACCAACGAATCCTATCGTCACTTGTCGCGGAAGCAG